TAACTGGATGATATTTGCGAGATTCGGTGATAAAAAGCAAACAAGACGGCAAAATATGGCTGAAATCGTGTTTTTGTGGGGGGTAAGTGAAATAAAATGTATTATATTTAAAGAAACAATGACAATCCTTATGAAATCAACAATATTTATATTAAATTAAGCATAGTTTTTCACCCCATGATATAAGAATATAAGAATATTTAATTTCTGCCAGGCATATTAGTTATTTTGTGCATAATCAGCAATTTACCTGGGGTGGTGCATAGTCATTTTCTGGTAAAATATTATACTTAGACAAATTTTTCCTTCCAATGACGACCCCTAAAAGCAACCCTTCTAAACACTATAAGCACTTCAGAAAGGCTATCGCTTTTCCTTTTTGGAAGTTAGAGCTATGTCGACACTGCCGTTTCAGGGCGGGGTCATTTTCAGAACTTTCGTCCCGGATTCAGGTTTTCGCACATATGCCATGTTGACCGCCATGGTCATTTTACCCTAAAACAGTTGAGATTACCTGTCCTAAATGAATCGCATACAAACTCATATACAGGTCCTAGACTAAAATTAATCATAGGCATTTGGGCGGGCGTTTATTTAATAACGATTCCCTCTCTTCTCCCGCCCGCACTAAACGCCTGCTACACCACAAGCGGCCCAATCTTACCCTGTGTTATTAATTTGTTACGTTACACCTTTATATAAATATAGTATATTGAAAATCATTAGAAAATCCTGTGTTATTAATTTATTACGTTATATCTTTATATAATAGTATAATGAAAAGCACTTACATGTGTTTCCTGAAAGATTTTAACGAGAACCAGCCAAGATTGGCGTTGACAAGAGGTTAACGGCCATAGTTGGGGTTGACATGAGAATTAACAGCAAGAAATAATACAAGGCTGGTCACTTTGACCGTTAATTGGATTAATTGGGACAAACGCTGACAGAAATTAATCGAATAACGCGAACTTCGGCTGTCGCATCGTCGCCAAATTACGTTACATCGGAAGAGCGATAATTTTTACATATTAATACTTTTCTTTAACAGAATTTAACAATAATCTTCTTGCAGAAAATGTCAATTGAAACTTACAAATGTCTAATCTTCCGAGGTTTGTGATCGGTATGAATTCATGGCCTTCAATTTCGAATTACACGCTGCATTGTCATTGGTCGGCTTTCAAAACAACAACAGGCCATTTGCAGAGGCCATTCACTAACTCCCCAAACGTTCGCTCTCTTACCGGAAATGTCCTGTTGTTGTTTTGAAAGCCGACCAATGCCTCACAAACAATTTTGATTTGGCTGCATTTATTTGAACACTTGCTTTATTATACCTCCCTCACTGATTCAATAGTTGCTAATGTAAATTTGTACTAGCTCTGCAGGACAGATGTGTTCAATTTTTCCTATACGGTATGGAATAAAGATCATGCTGTTAGTGTTACATGCATGCAAATGGTAATTCACAATGCTGTAAAGGCTAATGAAATTCAATTATGGGTTGTCCATAACTACCAACATTTCCTGAAGTGTACAAACTATACGCTTCAGGTAGGCAAGTTCATAACCAGTATACGCTTTTTAAAATGTTGAACTATAGACCCACCATCATCGGTTAAGTTGCTGTGGGAGGGGGTTGAAACGTGTACTCTCTGTACACCTGTGATAATTATGGATGATTTACAGTGTAACACTAATGCTAGATTTAACTGAAAATAATTTTATAGTTATATTGAATATATTTTAATGTTTCATTTGTGGAGGTCAGTGGCATCTATTCTTGTGGAAAATTCAAGTAGCTGTGCTCCAGCAGCTAGCTGCAGTGGCACAAACTATTGACATAACCAAAATTTTAATATTGCATGGGATCTTTATAGATTCGCTTTTATTATTTCCTGGTGTCCTATGAGCCCAGCAAGAACTGCTTACTTTATTATTATAATTTAATCATGTAACAATTAGGCTATCCAAACAACAATCGTTCTGTGCGTCTATTTCTGCTATAAAAATGCATATTCAGCTGAGACTGATATTAATTTAAACTGTCACTTGAAGCAGACAGGAGGTTTTCGACTTTTCGTATTAAACAAGTGGTAGTATTTGAGAGAAACTAGAACGTCACAAACGCAAATGGTTCTGTGGTTTGTTTGATCATACAGTGTGTGTGTATATATTCATACCTTCGATAACGATGTGAACATTAGCTGTCTCAACTTTGAAGTATCAAAATGATGTCTATATTTATTCACACTACGATGTCCATTATATATTGTGCCTGATATTAGGCTGAAAGTTGGAAAACATTTGCCAGAAACGAGCTTCGCGCCTTGGCGAAGCATGCATTTTACTGTAAAGCAAATTATTGTCATATGTGAAAATCTTTATAAATCATGCAACCAATCATAGCGCTCATTACAAAAAGTGTTTAGCGGTAAACCAATCATATTCATTGTAACAACATCCTCGAAGCACATGTCAGGGTCAAATGTATAAACCAATCACAACGGAGTTTAGAAGAGCCTTTACCAGAGTCTTCTCATTTTTCACGCGCCATGTACGAAGAAGACCCTGGGGACGAGGTTGCGTAATAAATTAATAACACAGGGTAAGATTGGGCCGCCTGTGGTTATACACAGGGCTCTCATTTTTAAGGAAATTTCCTTAAACTGAGGAAATTTTGACCTTTTTAAGGAGACTTTTAAGGAAATAGAATTTTTAAGGAATTTTTGAGGAATTTTGAGTTGAAAAACACACTCCAAATAATAATTAGTTATTACACTGTTTGTTATACTTATAAGTTATATCCATCGACCTAATGAAGTTTTTGGCAGTAGTTTTTCAACTGAAATCGCTGATCATCTTCAATTTTGTTGTTCGCACTTAGTTCTTTAAGTGTTTGAGTGACTCTGACTCGCTGTGTCTTTGAAGCGCAGTTTTCAAACACGAATTTTTTTGCAGCAAACTTAGCCTGCGTAGCAGGTGGTGGTATTCGCGGGCATGAGAGAATGGGAAGCTTGATTTCTAGCTTCTACCGCCTGCTACGCAGGCTACAGCAAACTCTGCATGATGGTTCGTCGTTCGCGTTTTTTGGCCGCAACAAGCCAAATACTTCTTTTTTAAATCAGTTTATTCTTTTTTGGAGCGCTTCCCTCGGATTCATAATCAGAAAATTCAGAATCCGCCATTTTCCGATGTAAAAAAGTTATTTACATATTTTCGCGCCAATTGCGCCTATGATCGCGCGCCACTGGAGTGTTCCCCGGAAACTAGGCCGAGTCTAAGGAAATTTTTGTCGATTTAAGGAATTTTTACCACTGAGTCTAAGGAAAATTTGGAATTCCGTTCTGAGAGCCCTGGTTACACTTACACTTACACAGGCTAACATAACACGCTATCTGTAAACAGATATCTACGAGCTTCGACAAGTCGGTACTTTTCGCATTTCCGATTGGATTTCAATTTTAACTCAGGTACGTTCACACAGCAAGTGTTTTATTCCTTTAACAGCTTAATTTCGACAACATATCTAAGCACTGGATTGCACAGACGGATTGCACGAGTAAAATAAAGAAGCTATTTATATGATCGATGTTGCAAGTGTTATTACAAGTGTATAATATATGAAGCGAAACTGCAAATGATATTTAATCGTTTGTGTCGCACATTAAAGTATTTTATCTTCGGATTAGTGATCAGATGAACAGTAATTTTCGTTGGGAATGATTAGAACTCCGTATACACACAAGAATGCTGTGCCATATGACACGTATCAGTTTACGTTATTGTTTATTATTATATTAAAACTTTTAGTGTCCGTTTATATGATCTCGCCTAGACGGAACTGGACAGTTTCATTCCTCTCAGCTGGGAAACGCGCCCAAGAGAGATAGCATGTTATATAGACAATATAGTATCGGTTTATCTTTTGGTTGTGTCGGTTTATCTTTTAGTTGTATCGGTTTATCTCTTAGTTGTATCAGTTTATCTTTTAGTCGTATTGGTTTATCTGTTAGTTGTATCGGTTTATGACATTGATGTATTTGCACTTTACATCAATGTATAGCACATAACATCAATTTATACGGGTAGGGATAAAACGCTGAAACTGAATCTCGGAAACGGAAAGTGAAAGCGGAAACTGAAATGGGGATAAAACGCTGAAATGGGGGATAAAACGCTGAAATGGGGGATAAAACGCTGAAATTGGGATAAAACGCTGAAATGGGGATAAAACGCTGAAATGGGGATTAAACGCTGAAATGGGGATAAAACGCTGAAATGGTCAAATTTAATCGAATTCGTTGTTTCTTAGACCATTGCGAACACATGTAATTTCCCTATAAAACTGAATAAATATAAGAAAGAAGTTCCCGGTAAAATGACAACCACAAATTTTCGAAGAATGTCTGCTGCACTATTTTTAAAGTCGTTTGAATTACATTTGACTACTATACCTCGCGCATATTTGGTCTTTGACTAACCAAACATGGAGATATGAAGCGAGCACTGTAGACGTTCTATGCGTTTGTTTCCGCTCAATTTTAAAAATTTATTATGCAAAAAATAAACGCGTTCATTTATACATACAGTAAAAACATGCAATTATAAATATGCATAGACTAGAGATACGACATGCAGAATAATTTAAATACGCGTGCGGTATTTTCCCGTATATCCACTAAAAAGTAACAAAGTTAAGCCGGTTTTCCACTTCAACCGTATCGTATCGTACCGTAGCATTTTCTTTTGTGTTGAAGTAATTAGTTCCACACTAGTGATCAGGGAACAAAGAAATACGCTACGCTTCGCTACGATACGATTGAAATGGAAAACCGGCTTTACAGTATTCAACATAACCAACTTTGCAACATTTTTAAAGTAAATTGACTACGGGAAAATACCGCACGTCGAGTATCATTTAAATCATTCCACGTTTTGTGCTACACGTTCTAGCTGGTCAGAGTATTCACGTGAAAGAAAAATTATCTAGACCACCGTGAAGATTTTACTCAGTTCTAGATGTCGCTCGAGCAAACAAATTCCAAACATGTAAGAGTTGTTCCTTTATCAGTAAGTCAGAACACAGCTCTTGAGCGCCTTGACAATGAGTTTGCTGTTGGAATTCCGTTTGACTACGAAGAATTGTTTGACAACAACGCCGTCAATGCGTGTGCTTTTATATCCGTAACTCTTGCTCATTTATTTAGTTTGATAGGCAAATTACATGTTTTCGCAATGGTTTAGCAAACAACGAATTCGATTAAATTTGCCCATTTCAGCGTTTTATCTCCATTTCAACGTTTTATCCCCATTTCAGCGTTTCATCCCTATTTCAGCGTTTTATCCCCATTTCAGCGTTTTATCCCCATTTCAGCGTTTTATCCCCATTTCAGCGTTTTATCCCCATTTCAGTTTCCGCTTTCAGTTTCCGTTTCCGCGATTCGGTTTCAGCGTTTTTTATCCCTACACAATTTATAACGCATAAACTCGATTGATACATTTCAGTTATTTTGTCCGCTAAAAAACTTCATAAGGAATGTTCGGTATACCGATATACCGAAAATATCGGTATTGAAACCAATATCGGTTTATCGGTATGAGTTTTTCAGTCATCGGTATGAGTTTTTCAACCTTGATCTATGCAAAGCATTTGACACAGTTGATGATAAAATCCTTATCAAAAAGTTATTTATTTACGGAATTCAAAACAAATGCCTTGACTGGTTTAAATCGTATTTGCATAATAGAAAACAATTCTGCGTGGTCAATAATTCAACATTGTCCTTTCCGATATATCGGAATTTTTCGGTATACCGTATCAAATTTACACACCATTGGGGAAGTCATCAAGTAGACATCTCGTGTTAAAATTAAAAACAATGTCAACAGCTTCGAAATTATCATAAACGATGTTTCCACTTTTCAAAATCAAAATTTCCTTCAAGTTTCCACTAAGGAATCTTCCTATCTAAAAGAACAGCTGGGAAATTTGTTGCGCATGCGCCAGATTTCCATTGAAACTTGAAAATTTCCCCAAAGAATAACGAGATACTCGTAGTTGTTGTATATTTGTGAATGCCTGTTTAATCTTTATAGTTTTTTTTGCTTGAGACGAAGACAAAGTAAAATGTACTCTACGTTTCCAGTGTATAGAATATCTCGTTTGAACAGCAATAGAATATTATAATCTTGACACAAACAAGAAGACATTTGACATGATAAATCTGCAGAGGTAAAGCCAATCAGGCGTCGCGAGCTTGACAGCCTTGTCAAACGCAAAACAAGTACAAATTTGGGTTCAAACAGAAAGACGTTCAATGTTAATACGACTAACATTTATTCTATACTAATACGGGTGGTTTAAAATGTTTTCAATTGAATTTTCAAAGCTTTTATCTATCGATATGATAACAGTCAAACTGTGAAAATGCCGACTTTTGTTGACGCTTGCGAATCAGCAAAATAACTTCCAGTAAACAGAACATTTCTAAACAAAACTCTCGCTTAGTCTTGAGATGTACTTGTATGTTCGGTTCTACTAGTTGAACAAGGAAAATGTCCAAGAAACACTAGTAAATTATCGTTGTCAAAAAACATTTCAGTGCTTGATTTCAGTAGCAGGTCATATTCAAGGGCAAGGTCAAGTTGTCGATTCATTACATTTTACAGTAGTTCGAATGTTTCGAACTCTTGCTTCATACAAGAGCAGTAAACGCACGCATTTCAAAGCGAAATTAGACGCAAAGGGGCAATTTTTCAACACAATTTGTTGTTAAATTCTGTTTCCTATGTGCTTTGGGAGCAAAAAAATATGATTTTGAATTTGGTGGATTCGGTAATTTTTTTTGCAATTTGGCCTGGTATTGCATCCTACCTATGTATTGACTGTGATGCAAAAGTAATCAAATATACTATTTTTAATTTCCCTTCATTGAAAGGATCTACTATTGTGGACTAAACTAAATCTTAATCAGCATACAAGGCTGCAAACAACAGCTAAGTATTAGCTGGGTAGTTTGCAAATTTTAAAAATAATTGGACCTCAAACTTTGATCTCCAAAAGCGAGATCAAACTGCGAGCATAATCCGAGTTTTGATCACTAGGGGCAATTTTTGGATGTAAAAAAACTTGTTTAAATTACATATTAAACAAAGGCAAAATAAAATTTGGTATTAATATTTTGGAGGAATCGTCAAGGTTTTTTGCTATCTGCCCACGCTTCTACACCCCCTCTCCCAGGATCTTCTATCTCAAAAACAGTTTTCTGCAGAAACTATGCTTTTTTCTCGGGAAAATTTTTACTTTTCTCAAAAAATACATTATAAACACGAAAACCTTAAATATTTAAATAATTTTCATACCTTTTTGGGATTGCAAAAAGCAAAATTTGATTCATTATCCCACTTTTTAAAATATATGTGACAAAGTTGCTTCGAAATCACCATCACGCAGTAGCATGTTTATTTACCCTCATCCTTTTGACTGAATAAAGTTTATCTTTTTGAAAAGCTATTTGTTTTATAGCTCTTGGTTACCGGTTTACATTTATATCATTTTTGGCACCCACGAGACCAACAAGTTGTGGTAATCCGCGAATGAAAATGGACATTCGAAGAGCACAAAACCAACTCCTAGCTATGTAACTTTATCGCCTGAAATTTGAATCAATCCACAATTAAAATGTTGATAATGTAGATGCTTTCCATACTTGAGATGTTAGTGAAGTTTTTCCTACAATTGAATTTCCTTTATCGCCGTCTTAAAAATGCAAAATCATATATAAGTTGAAATTCCACTCGTGTTGTTTTTTCAAATTTTCGAATTATTCTAAAATATCGCGTGCGCCAGCAATTTCTCTGCACAGCGACAACAAATTTCCCAGCTGTTATCGATAACAGAAAATTCTCATACCGAACAATTCTCATACCGAACATTCCTACAGCAGCAATAATATGTATTCTAAATGACGTCACAAGTGTAGTTTGTCCAAATATTCCTACAATTCCTGCGGGCTTAGCAATAGAATATAGTTCATTTGCATTCAGTTGAAAGTCAGTTTCAGTTTGTTTGTCCGCAGTTTGTGCTATAAATAACAACCTTAATGCTACACCTTTCAGCTGGCCAGATACTGCAGACTTTTATACATGTGAGTTGACTTTTTTATGAGCGATTTTACAAGCAAAAATTTAAATTAATAACGAGAGTTTACGCCAGAAAAATTTGATTGAATCTAACTGCTTTGCCTCAATTATCTGCGTAGCATATCAAATTCTTTAAATTTTCAATTCAATTTACTAAAAATCTTGAATGGCAATCTACCCAGAGGCAAACTGAAAAACTCAAGTTACATTTCTAAAAGGATTTGGCTATGTTACAACAATTAAGAAAGTTACACTTTAGTTAAACCTACTTGAAAGTACTTATCTTAAATCTTTATAACTATAAAAGTGTTAGCACGTGTCCCACTTTCTTACGCAGTAAGGTAGACAACTATCACTAAATCGTTTAGTATGTGATTTAAAAAGCGGAAAGTTTCGAGCATGTCTAAGATTGTGCCTATGGTTAATTGGTTTGGGCAGCAACTCAAATAGTTTGCTTGAAGTATCACAATAAATTTTCTTGTAAAAACGCATGGACAACGATTCTCTTCTTTCAGTAAGCGTAGGCAGCTTCAAGGTCTTCAGGCTCTCATGATACGACTGCTCTGGCAGAATAATTTTCAGAGTTTCTGGATATGTTCGATTTGGTCGATGAGTGAATTCGGTAGAGAAGAGTGCCATACCGGGCACGCGTATTCCAGGACAGGCCGAATGAAACTGCAAAAAACCCTTCGAAGATCGCTTGATTGTACGCCATTACGTTTAAGGAGCCTTAGTGCATACAAACACTTGCCTTGGAGCAAATACGAGTAACATGTTTTATCCATTTAAGATCAGATGTCAAGTATACACCCAGGCGTTTTATGGTGTGAACCGTCTCAAGATGTTGGTTATTGATCATCAGGCTGAAGCGATGGTTGGTTAGTTGAGAAGGACATAATTAATTCTTTAGTTTTCTTAACATTTAGCTTCATATTGTTCGCAACTGACCATTGGTTAACACTGTCTACCTCTTGCTGTAAGGTTAGCGGGTCAGATTTGCCGACTTTAACAACTTCTGAGAGAGCGCTATCGTCCACGTATTTATACAAGGGTAGTCGGCTTGCCAAATCATTCACCATGATCAGAAAAAAGGGTTCCTAGTTTAGTCTCTTGTGGTACTCCAGCGTCGACGGTTCTCCAATTTGATTTGAAATTTTGTAATTTAACACGTCGTTGCCTGTCGGAAAGAAAGCTGGCACACCAATTCAACAGCACCTGAGGAATATTAAGTAATTTCAATTTATGTAACAGAATGTTATGGTCAATTCGGTCGAACGCCTTTGAAACGTCTATGAGACAGGTTCTAATAAGCGTGTTAGGTTCTTCAAGAGCAGATAGCCAGTAATGGAGGAGATGCACAAGGGCATGTGTTGTTGACGATTTTTTCACATTTCCAAATTGGTAAGGATCAATATAAGGCATAACTATGGGTACAATCCAATTAAAACCAAAACCTTCGAGGACTTTGCTTAGCACGGGTGTTAGGGATATAGGTCTAAGGTCGGAGTCAACACACTGAGGCTGGGGAATCTTCCCAAGTGGAAGGACATCCGCGCTTCTCCATAGCTTAGGAACATAGCCTTCTCTGATGGAAGAGTTATAAATCGAGCACACAGGGTTGGAGATAATTGGTGCACAGGTTTTCAATAACCAATTTGGAATTTCATCTGGTCCCACAGACTTGCGTTCATGAACAGTAGATAGAGCAAGCTCCACAGCTTCTGCAGAAATAATATACTCATCTGGGACGTCGGAAACCGGGATAAGGTTAAAGGCCAAAGGTGGTAAATCATCAGCTACACGGCTAAAAGATTCGCTTACCAACTCCGCGAGATCGACGTTTCTTAAGAGGCCGTCTCCGTAAGAACCGACCACTGATTTTTTTTTCGAAAATCAACCTTGCCTCTAACTTTTCTTATTTATTAGACTTAACAAGCATACTACAAAATCACATTCAGAATTTTTCATCTCACATTATTTCCTGAGATTTTTAAACTTTTGTTCTTTAGGGCTATAATTGGGATCTCAACGCTTTGGCTAACGTAAAAATACCACATCTGTATCCCTCAAATGCACAGACGCACGGCCCGCTTTCCAATTTTTATGTTTATAATGTCAAAGTTAAGGTCTTTGCTCGAACATATCAAGCATCTACACATTTCAAACCCTTTTAAAACGTCTTTTTACACGAGCGTGCTTCAAGGTACTTTTTCAACATGGGTTAGGTCCTCAAAGTTACATGTTTTTACGATCGGATTTTGCAAAAGTGGCACTACCCACAAACTTCTACTTAAATATTTTTTAAAATACTAATTGTAAATTATAATTCCATTGTAAATTATAATTCCATCAAAACAAAAATTGGGGGATTTTTTTCCAAACTATTTTAACGACGCGTGAAATTTACAATTGTTTGGTGCTCACTGGAAATGACGCTGACAACCCATTCATTAAAAGTTCGCGGATAGTTTACAAATTCAACACATGCTAAAAGTTTTGAACATAAAAACACTGCTTGAGTTGCATAAATCTTATGTAGACCACCTGTATGTTTCAAGCAGCCGCAAACGTTGTTTCAACAGTCGCACCACGCAGGTAATAACGTAATGTAAACAAATGTGTCTATATAATTATTCGCATGTCGCGAAACCCCGCTGCGAGTGAAACATCGTGCATTATAACGCCAAAAAATGCTAAATAAGATCTTGCTAAAACATAAGTGAATCATATTGTAGTTATATACCACAAAGTTTATCAAATTAAGATAAAAAATCAATCAAAAATACAAAATATTCGTCCGTCTATATTTAGGATATTCTGAGTACGAGATTGTAAACAAACAGTGACCCATTGTGTAATATACTAAATTTTTATCTAGACAAGAGGAAGGATATCTTTTACCGGCATAGCTAGAAAGAGCATAATAAAATTAGTATAATTGCAAAGTTTGGTCGCGAAATGTTGTAAACTATTGAAAATAAAGGCTCGCCAAGTGTGAGAAATTTGTCATAAAGGCTATTGTTTTGTATTTATGTGTGGCCAAATTGATACCGTTTTGAGAACAGGGTATCGATTTTCGCCGCATATATAAATATACAAAATTTGAAGTTATACTAATTTTATGATGTTTTTTCCAGCTCTCTATATCCAATTTCGCAATGGATCCATCTATATCTAAATAATATTTGAAAATATCTTATTTCAATAAACTACACTACAGCTATATTTATAGAAAAATTGGGTCAAACGTACTGCCTCTACAGTCTTTAAAAAAAGACTGTAGAGGCAGTTGGACCCAATTTTTCTATAAATATAACTGTAGTTTATTGAAATAAGATATTTTCAAATATCAGGGAAGCCTCACATATCGATTTTTGATTTTTGTCCATGAGAAACGTCATATGTTCGTTTCTCTGGAGACCCCCCCCCCACCCCCTTAGAAACGTCACACATTGTTATCGATATTTTGTTCTTATAGTACACATAAGGTAATTTTCTGCTATTTTTTCGGTCGGCTATTGGCGATGCTTCCGCGAGGAATATGTCATCTGCTGACATACTCTTTTTTTATTAATAAATATTATATGTGAACTTCAAAATTTCCAACGTTTCTCAAAACAACTTTTTTTGCATAAAATATTGATAATTTAGCGCGTATTTCTTGAAATTTGAGTGTTTTCAATGCAAGGAAGGCGTAATAATATAAATGTAGCTATAGGTATAGACCAGGTATGGTATTACGAATATATAGACTGCTGTTTGTATCAAATTTTTTTTTTTTATATTTTGCAAAGACAAAAACTATCGATTTTTTCCATGATGTTTACAGAGAAACGTCACAGCTGCCACCCCCC